ACATTTTGTGCTTTCTGTATTAGTTGTCACAGAGAGACATATCATATTTGGTACTGGCTTATTTTTACTAAGCATAATTATTTCCAGCCTAGTTCATTTTTTTTGCAATCATTAAGATTTCATTCTTTTTATGGCTGAATAATGTTCCATAGTGTGTGTGTCTGTGTGTGTACACCATATTTTCTTTATCCAGTCATCAATTGATGGGCATCTAAGTTGGTTCCATATCTTAGTTATTGTAAATTGCACTGCTATAAATGTGGGGTTACAGGTAATGGTCTCATATGCAGATTTCATTTCATTTAGATATATTTCCAGAAGTGGAATGCCTGGATCATATGGTAGATCTGTTTTCAGATATCTGAGGAATATCCCTACTGTCTTCCATAGCAATTGCATTAGTTGGCATTCCCACTGGCAGTAGATTAGGGTACTTCCCCCATCTTAACATCCCTGTCAGCATTTACAGTTTGTGTGTGTGTGTGTGTGTGTGAGAGAGAGAGAGAGAGAGAGAGAGAGAGAGAGAGAGAGAGAGAGATTCTGACTAGGAAAAAGTGGAATTTCATTATGGTTTTTATTTGTGTTTCCATGTTAGTTAGAGAATTGAGCATTTTTTTCATGAGTCAGTTGAATTTCAACATTTGAAAAATTCTTATCCATGTCCTTTACTTGTTTTTGACTGGATTGTTTGTTTTGCTACTTTTGAGTTCCTTGAGTTCTTTGTAAATCCTGGATGTACGTCTTCTAGCTGTTGTGTGGTTTATATTTGCTCCCATTCTGCTAGCTGCCTCTTCACTTTAATGGTTTCCTTTGCAGCACAGAAATTTCTTAGCTTTATGTAATCTCAGTTATGTATTTTTACTTTCACTGCATGCGATTTTGGAGGTCTTTTCCATGAAGCCTTTGCCTATATCTAAGTATTGCAGAGTGTTCCAGTGTTTTTCCCTAGTAACTTGATGGTGTAAGGTTGTATCTGTAGATCCATACAGAGCTGATTTTTGTGTAAGGTGTAAGGTAGGGACCCACATGTGTAGATCCAATTTTGCCAACACCATTTGTTGAAGAGACCGCCCTTTCTCCTTGGATTGATTTCAGTTTGCTTATAAAAATAAGATAATAAAAAATGTGTGGGATCATTTCCGGGATTTCTATTCTGTTGAATTCATGTTCATGTCTATTTTTATGCCAGTGCAGGCTGTTTTGATTACAGTGGCCCAGTAATATATATTGAAGTTTGATATTTTGATTGATCTCTCCAGCATTGTTTTTGTTATTTAAGATGGCTTTTTTATTTGGGATCTCTTGTGTTTCCACGTGAATTTTGCATCATTATATTTCTAGAGCTGAGAAGAATGTCATAAATATTTTGATTGGAGTCATATTGAATCTCTAAATTACTTTTGCTAATATTGAACTTTGATGATGTTGAATCTGCCTATCCACGAACATGACAGATTTTTTCCATGCGTTGTTATCTTCTTACAATGTTTTGTAGTTGTCATTACAGAGTTCACTCGCGTCCTTGTTTAAATTTATCCCAAGGTATTTAAGATTTTTTCCCCTCCTGCAACTGTGAATGGGATTGATCCTGAAAGTTAAATAACTGTCACAGCCAAGAAATTGTTTATGTGTACAAAGGCAATTTGATTTTTGTCCTGCAACCTTGACCAATTCTCTTGTGAGTTCTGTCTCTTGGTTTAGTCTTTTGGTTCCCTTGTATAGAGGATCATGTCATCTGTAAACACTGATAGCTTGACTTCTTTTTTCCAGTCTGAATCCCTTTGATTTCTTTTTTCTTTCCTAATAGCTCTTGATAACTTCCTGGAATATATTGAACAGCAATGGCAAGAGTGGACATCCTTGTCTGTTTCCGGATCTTAGTGGAAATGCATCCAACTTGTCCTCATTCAATATGATGCTGACATTGGATCTTTCATATATTGCCTTGATTGTGCTGAGAAATTATCCCTCTGTACTTAATTTGCTTAAGGTGTTCAGCATAAAAGAATGTTGTATTTTATGAATTGTTTGCAACTATTGAGAAAATCACATGGTTTTTATTCTTGAACTTGTTAATGTGGTATATGATGGTTACTGATTTGTGTATATTGAACCATCCATGCATTCCAGGGATAAATCCCACTTGGTCTGGAAAAATTATATTTCTGATTATGTTGTTGGATTCTATTAGCTAATATTTTGTTGAGGATTTTTTCATCATTTGTATTCCTCAGGCATATTGGTCTATAAATCTCTTTCTCTTGTATATTTTTCTGATTTTGGAATTAAGGTGATGGTTGCCTCATAGAAGGAGTTGGTGGGATTGTCTCTCTTCATATTGCTTTGAATAGATTGTAAAGATTTGGAATTAGTTTTTCCTAAAAGGTTTGGTAGAATTCAGCAATAAATCCTTCCAGTCCTGGCCCTGAGTTATAGATTTTCATCTATCAGTACAGTAACTATTTTGTGTCACTCCCAGCTGAGTTAGTACATTGGATTCTGTCTTTTAAATGTGCCTGCATAGATTCATTTAGTTCAAAGTACAATTATTCCTTCATCCCTGACACACTGTCTTCAGCAAAATATCTAGCTTTTTCTGATGTAAATTACCATGTTATTTTACTTCCTTGAACATCTAATCTTAGGTCTTATTGTTGAATTGACCAACTGAAACATGTTGAAACAGTTTTGCCAGAGAAAGTTAAGTTGTCACTCTCATTATGTTAGAAAAGAAACTCAACAGTTGGCAGACTCTGGATGTTGAGTTTGGTTGTTCTATTTGAACTCTTGACTGAATAACTATAAGGCTACTATCTTTTAGTAGATCCCTGACGAAGAAAGATACCTTTAGCTTGTCCCAGCTATTCTGCAACCAGCTCATCCTTGTTTTTTTGTGATTCAGTATACTTAAAGGGTCCAGTGTACCTTGCCCCATCAGGATATTGTATGAAGCCTGTAGCTTGGTTTGACTACAGCATTATAGTCAAGAACCCTAAAGATTTGGAGAGAAGTTATGACTTCTTCAAGTAACTACCATTTTTTTTTTTGGTTTGTTTTCCTTTCGGATTAGGCTCTTAACTAAAACTGCATCATGGTAGCCACTGAATATTGAAACCTGTCATACCAGAGACTAGAGCTGTACATCTTGAACTGGAGTTGCCCGGTCCAGTAACCATAAAAAATCATCTGTGTCTAGGATCATTCCAGTAAGTGGTTGTGATTTATCTCTGGCATGATTTGAGGCAGTGGTAAGTTGAATAAACCATGACTGGTTCATTTCTGCTGCTCTCCCACCTCTCTCAACCAACAACTATAGTCTGATGGTGGAATTCCCTATGACCAGCTGGGGAAGAGACAAAGCCTCCTCCATTCTGATTTAAATATGCCAGCTTGAACTGAAGGTGACTATTACAATATTATAGCCCTACTCAGGATTGTGGGAAAAAAAAGTGAACATCCAAGTGTTCCACTCTGCCTGGAAGATCAGATTCCAAAAGTAGGGCTCTACTCTGACTTGTGAGCTGTGGAAGGTGGATGGATTCATAAGATCAAGTATTCAGAAAGAATCGTACTGAAGATTAAGGAAGAGTCATCCTGATGGATCTTTCTGAATGACCTACAGTATGAGAGTATTTGTGTCTTGTGTGAATACTCTTGTAAGACTGTAGAGGAAGATCCAAAGAATCAGGAGGTCAATGCCAATCTGCTCTGAGTGAGTGTTGGGGAGCAATCCTTCCTCTCTACTCCAGTTATTGCTCAAGGGCTTATGTAACAGGTGGCTTGGCAGCATCTGTTTATCAAGGACACTCAGACCACTGCTAAGCTCTAAACATAAACCTGAAACTTTCTAGAGAGCCAAAGCCTTTGCTCTGTTTCTGTTAGATCTCTTTTTTCATGAGGAGGGCAAATTTTTTTTATCACTTTAAAAGAAAACTTCATTCATTCAAAATTATTAATAATACACCGTGTATCATAAACAGTTCTAGGTGTTTGAGAGATCTATCAGTGAACAACAAAGGTAAACATTGATGTCTTTAAGAAACTTATAGGATATCATCTACAACAAGCACAGACTGTTTGGTTTTTAGTTTTTTAATATTAATCAGAAGGTGTAAAATCAAACATCCATGCAAAATTGTTGTGTATTTCCTTCACTCCTTCTCTACTCATTAGAAGAATAATTTTCACATTAACTCTTTGTAGTAGCCCTATTTATATTGAATAAAAATAGTATTGGGAGAACACAGCTGTGTTAGGGATGCTTGTTGCTATGGAGTTGGTAATTTTTCCTAAGTATTTTCAGTGGGCAGATCTAAGAAATATATTTTGCTTTTATATCAGTTAGCTTTGCTTTTACATATTGTTTTTAAAAAGCAGAGTTTATCAAGAGTTTATGCAAGTGATTCCAATTTAAATTTGTGTATACAGAGTTGTTATTCAGCTAAACAGGTTATGTTTGTACCTCTTTTCTCTGATGTTGAAAATCTTTGTGGCAATGACATGAGTATTTAACTTTTGGAAGGTCAGCCTGGACCTTGTTTCTCTAACTTTTGTCATGATTGTGTAAGGCATTAATAATCTCTCTTAAATCTCTGTTTCTGTAAACAGTTTGGGGTGGGTTTTTCTGTCTGCATCTGCATCCCAGCTATGAAGGCAGAAGAGTCTGTGCAGTCTGGGCAGTCTGTGCACCTGCCCATGGTAATACCAACTGATGCAGGCAATTTCACCAGCGAGATGTTGTCGGAACACTCAGCAGCACACAGGATCACTCACTCTTCCACTTCTGTGCCCATCCCAGTTCACCAAAATCTGTATGTCTGATTCTCTCCTTATTTCCTTCCCTTACATCAAACTCTGTAAATTAAGTCAAATCCAGAGCAGGCAAAGAGTGACATCTGTCCATCCCAGCCACCTCAGTAGTCTTCCAGAGGCCATTTGGCTTCAGGAGTCTTTGGAGTGAATGAACACAAGAGAGATTTGGAAAGCTGAGACTAACTGGTCACGTCAGGGATCATGAAGACTGTGGTAGGCGTGGAACTCTGGATCACAGACAACTCACAGGTGTAGGACATCCTGCCGCCTTTCATGATGGATCTGGAAGCTCCATCTTCACATCAGAATAGATGACTGAGACAGCCTGGAATGGAGAGAAGATGGAAGGAGAAGTGGAAAAAGAGGGCAAGGAGGAGGCTATGGAGAGGAGCGGGGCAGAAAACAGTGGGGAATGAAACTGACCTGGTCCTCTTGAGATGCCATGAGGGTATCAGCTGTAAAAAGAAAGGGTATAGAATGCACTTAGGTCCACATCTGCTAACTAACTGGCCAAAACCCATTACTGTCATGATTTCCCCACCCAAGCCCCAACATGGCCTACAATACATTTAATTTTCCATTTCACCATTTCTTAACACAGCTCTCTTCAAGTTCATCTCAAGCTCCATTGGTCTGTGAAGTCCTCCCTTAATATCACACAGAGAAACCACTTCCTCCACCAAATGTTGAGAAAATTTTCTTCCTGGGTCTTACTTCTCCTAACTTATAATTAACTTACAGTTAAGTGCATCAGTACCAACATCTTTGGTAAGTTTCCATTAGGTCTCCCCACACATATATGCTATGGGAGGGGTATGTTCTTTTACATGAGCACATTTGCCATGCTTTGTTAAAGGTGAAGACACATGAGAAGAAAATTTCGCAGATATGATTCCTTTGCTGATACATACTAAAAATTAAGATCCTCAAAGAAAAGGGTAGATCACCAAAGCAACGTTGTAGCTTGGTGGAAGGGAAGGCATACTCTGGAGTACTTTCTCTTTCACCATGTTCTAACCATCAGCCTCTTGGGGTCACAGATATTTTTAATGATATTAGAAAAGCTATATACTCCCTCTTTCAGAATAATGGTATTATGCAGAGAGCTTTGCAAATGATTTCAGAGTCTTTATGCAAACTTTGAGGGTTTAGTGAAGGAATTTTTCTGCAAAGACTCGATAGACAGCTTATTTCACAACAGAATGTTTATTTCTAGCAGTGTTCAAGGGAGCTCTGTAGGATCCAGTGTACGCGAGCAGCCCAAGGAGTCCTACCAGAGGAGTCTCCCTGTCCCTGTGTCTGTCTCTCCCTCTCCCCATGCTCCCGCCCCAAGTGTGTCAAGGCAAAGATGGTGAGGGGGCTCCCAGAGGTTTTTCTTAAGAATTTTGAGGTGACTTCCCTGGCATTTGGGAACTAAAACCATATACCTAAGAGAGACAATGATTAAGAAAGGTGAAATAGAACTGCTCATTCTAGTCAAGCTGAGTAGCAGGAGCTAGATTTATCTTTCTATGTTAAACAAGAAAAAGATTTTTTTTAAAGATGAAACAGTGGTTTTTAGACATTGGACAGCAGGCAGAATATTCTGGGAACTTAAAGAGGAAGTAGAAAAAGCTGAGTTCTGCAGTTGTGCCAAGTCAGCACGTGGGGGCAGCTTCTGAGCTGTAATACAGGTTGGAGAGCACAGAGCCTCTTGCTGAAGCAACTGGAATTTACTGACTTCCACAGGAAAGTAGTAAATCACATGCTTCAGAGAGGTAGAGCGGGCACTCGGGTCTTTGCATATCAGTAGACACATCTGTGAGAACTAAGGATCATAGGCTAAAGGAAGAATCACCGTAAAGATCAGGCAGAATAATATGAGGCTCATGGTGATGTTTTACAACAATGAGACATCTGATGAATCCTCAGAAATGCACTAATATTGGGACTAGATTAACTCCATTCTAAAGATTTACTGGGATATGCCATTTTAAAATCAAGCTTAAGAGTAAGCTTGGAAAGGATATCTCTCACACTCAAAGGTTTAAGTTCCATGTTGTAGGGTTCTGCGTCTGCCCTGTTTGACAGCCTTGTTTTTAGTAGTCCCTAGCACTCAGGAGAAGCGCAGTATTTATTGTCATTTACAGCCAGAATCTCTTTCCAGAAACGTACCATTCCCATTGTCTTCTAGCTGAATTATCTGGACCTCAGTGTATTCCAAGTCTTCCTCTTTGGGGTTCACTGTAAGAAACAACATTTTTAGGCAGTCTCCATGAGTGTCAGTTGCCAAACTACCTCTTCCCACATGAGCCCACTACTCCCCGTGGACATCAAAGAAGTACGTATTTACTGGGGATATCTGACTTTGGGACACCTTAGAGATATGATGGATATATCATAGGAATTAAGACACATGAATCGTGTCGAGAGAAGCTTCTTGCAGGGGAATCTTTACCATTGCTGTAAAATGGCTGCTGCTCCACTGGGTTAGAGTGGATGGAATGGTAGGAATTTCTTGGACATGGGCTGGGAGGCCTCCTGTGAGACAGAGAAACGTGTGATTATCCATGGAATAATACACCATGTACAAAACTGAGGTGATCAGGGAGAAAGGCTGGAGGGAAAGTAAGTTGGGCCAACCATCAAAAAGAACTAAGGCTCTTGAATGGCTCCATTGGAGCTTCATAGGTCTACATAGAATCAGACAAAAACTTTGAAAGAAACCCCAGGTTGTAGTATGAACAGGTTGCCTAGGAACAAGGCATAGAGTTTCTGCTATCTAAGACACAATTTACCCGTAAAAATCAGCCCCGTCATCAGGAAGTAGTGACTGAACATCTCCACATGTCATGTTGGATCCCCTCAAGAAGGAACCAGACATAACCTATGCCCCAATCTCTGGCTATGATCTCAGACTGAGACAATGCCATAGAAGCAAAAAGAATATGTCCCGGGCCCGGCGCGGTGGCGCAAGTGGTTAAAGGTCCTCGCCTTGCACGCCCGGGATCCCATATGGGCGCCGGTTCTAATCCCGGCAGCCCCGCTTCCCTTCCAGCTCCCTGCCTGTGGCCTGGGAAAGCAGTCGAGGACAGCCCAAAGCTTTGGGAACCTGCACCCGCGTGGGAGACCCTGAAGAGGCTCCTGGCTTCGGATCGGCATAGTATCGGCCCGCTGCGCTCACTTGGGGAGTGAATCATCGGACGGAAGATCTTCCTCTCTGTCTCTCCTCTCTGTATATCCGCCTTTCCAATGAAAAAATAATAAAAATAAATCTAAAAAAAAAAAAAAAAAAAAAAAGAATATGTCCCAAACCAAAGTTAAGGACACAAAGTCTGAGTGTATGTGGGTGCCTACAGAAAAAAGCATCATTGGTAATGTGGACTTAATCTGGAAAATTGAGAATGTAGAAATTCTAGGATCCAGTAACGAGAGACTAACAATCAGAATTATTTATAAAGAAATACCCTGTGCCAACCCAAAATAATATATAACCTTTGAGTAATAGGTCATTTTTAACTAAGAAACTGATTCAAATACAGGCCAATTTATAACCTCAGTGGATAAGCATTGTAGTAAACGTCATTTTTGGTCAATTCAAGGAATATGAAAACAATATTTTATCACATTTAGTCAGAGAGAAGTTACTTGTCCTAACTGTGTACCTCTGTTGTTTTGCATGTTGTGTACACGGAAAACAAACACACAAAAGGGGTTTGAAGAGAAATTTAGGGCTCACCTGATGTCTTCCCCCTCAAAGTCATCTCCTGCAAAATAAAGCAAAGGCACATTTGTGTCAGCAGAGGGCACTGTTTCTCAAGGACTCCTCAAGAAATCCAATTGCCGCCCAGCTCAGTAACACAGGTTCCTGGGGACTGCTTCACTTCCCATCCTGCTCCTGCTTATTGCCAGGGAAACTTGCTTGTGCCTCGGGAAAGCAGTAGACGATGGCTCAGAGCCTTAGGACCCTACACCTGCATGGGAGCCTGGAAGAAGTCCCTGGCTCCTGGCCTTGGATCAGTAAAGCTTTGGTTGTTTGGCCACTTTTCTCTGTGACTCTGACTTTCCAAGAAAAATAAACAAAAGACGAAGAAAGAAAATCAATTGCAACACAGGCCTAGTTTCAGGCAGTCCTGGATGAAGCACAAGGGACAGATTCCAGGAAAAGATAGAGATCAGGCCAACGGTAGAGGGGGTACCTGGAGACCCCCGGACAGAGGGAAGCAGCGGCAACAGTGAAGTGGTGTTGCAGTGACCAGATAAACCAGTTGGCAAACAGCGATCTGAACTCCAGTGGAAGCCAGGTGGGAAAGGGAATTCACCGAGAACTTGGGAGGCGAACACAGCCAAAGAACTGCATCCTGCTGATTTGTTTGACCCAACCATGAGCAGAAAAGGAGCAGTGGACTCTGAGGGGCAGTGCAGGAACAGGGTGGATCTCAGAGCCGAGAACACCACCAGTGCTGAATCGGGCGCTGTTTTGCAAGAGACAGTGTGGATTTGGATAAACAGCCCAGCCGGGAGCAGGCTCATTTCTGGTTCAGAGCACTGTGTTGATCCCACAGGGAAAGCAGCGCTAAATTCACATCTTGCAGGTTCCACACACAATGGGTCTGCATGGTTCCTGGACCTGACAGCCAGCAGTCCCAGAACTTCACCAGCGCCAAGTCAGGCAACATTTTGTGCAGTGGAATAAGGGCTCAGGGAGATGGGAGGAACAATAGTAAGCTATGCATGCACTAAAAAAGGAGTGATCAGGCACCATATATTCATGGGACCAGAGGTTGTGAGACTGGAGCTACAACAGCGAGGTGTACAAACACTAAACTAAGAGAAAACTCACTTCCGGCTCAGTGAATTGCACCAGTCCCCCAGAGAAAACAGTTCTGACATGGAATTCTAGAGGTTCCACCCAAAATAGGTCCAGATGGCCCCCCATACCTAATGGCCAGCAGGTGTCGCCCAGAACAGCACCACTGACAACAGTTATTTAGGACAGCTGGTGTCTCGCTAGTCTGGGGCACTGCTTGAACCAGAAGTGAAAGAAGGGCTGTATAGATGTCACTGTGGCACAGCATGGGAAGACAAGAGGTAGAGAACGGTGAGCCAGTGGCTGGGACTACAGAGGGAGATTGTGATGGAAGCCTAGTGAAAGAGCCCAGGCATGAAACCCGAGAGGGAGTGGTACAAATGACTACAAAGAACTGGATACCAAACATAGTCAATAAAATTGACCTGTACACCTGTGGGTGTCACAGCTTAGAAATCAGCCCTAAGGAGAAGAACCTGCTAACCAGAATTGCAATGACCAAGAGTAAAAGAAGAGATAGAGATACAACGAATATTAGTGAAGACTGTCCTGCAAAGGAGCAAAAGCCTGTGCCCATCTCAGAGTTAACTGAAAAATACATAGAGGAAATGGGGGATAAAGAACTTGTTATAAAGCTTCTTATGAACAAGCAGAAGCACATACAGGAATTTAAGGAATATGTCACACAGGAAATAGCAACACCAAAGCAAAATTGAGCTGAATTATTACGAATGAAGGACATAATAGAGCAAATTAAAAATTCAGTGGAAAATCTCAATAATGCAATGAATGAAGCAGAAGAAAGAACATCAGAATTGGAAGGTATTTTCTGTCACAAGGGGAAACAATCAAAAAGCTGGAAGCAGAGCTGGGTCAAGTTAAAAAAAAAAAGTTTTGAAGAATTAAAGTAAAGATTAAAAGACCAAATATAAGAGTTATGGGAATTCCAGAAGGTGCGAAAAGAGAAGCTAGGCTTACAGACATAGTCAATGGAATAATAAATGAGGGCCGAGCGTGGTAGCCTAGTGGCTAAAGTCCTTGCCTTGCACGCACCAGGATCCCATATGGGTACCAGTTCTAATCCTGACAGCTTTACTTCCCTTCCAGCTCCCTGCTTGTGTCCTGGGAAAGCAGTTGAGGATGGCCCAAAGCCTTGGAACCCTGAACCCACATGGGAGATCCAGAAGAGATTCCTGGATCCTGGTTTCAGATCGGCACAGCTCTGATTGTTGCAGCCACTTGGGGAGTGAATCAGCTAATAGGCGATCTTCCACTCTATCTCTCCTCCTCTCTATATGTCTCACTTTTTAATAAGAATAATCTTTTAAAAAAAGAAATAACACGTTTGGTCTTGTGCTTCCATCACTCTAGCACTCTCAACTTTTGGCCTTCCCAGTACCTGCTTACTCTCTGACTCTCCACGGACAGACTCTGAGGACAGTCACAGGAAAGCAGCAGACACAACAGTATGGTGTTGCAGTGATTGATAGCCCTGCGGCATTCACAAACCACGTTATAAACTCCACCAGCAACAAGGTGGGAAGGGACATTTACCAGGATCTCAGGTGGTGAACCAGACAAAGAACTGCTCATCCTGCTAGTTTGTTTGATTTGACCAGTACCAGAGACAGAGCAGCACGCCCCAGATGGGCAGTGCAGGAACAGGGTGGATTTCACAGCCCAGTCGGCCTCTTAGAGCTGAATCGGATGCCATTTTCTACAGTGTGGAAAAACTTTAAGATTTCAGAGTCAACAGTGAGCTGTGCATGTGCTGAGCTGGGGGTGAATTTACTGAGCTCAGTGCATTGCACTGGCCCCACAGGAAAATGATACCAACTTTGGCATTGTACAGGACAAAATAGGTCAGTGTGGCCCTCAAACCTAATGGCCAACAGGTTCTGACAAGATCAGTACCAAAACAACTTAGCTGTATGACACCTGTTGTCTCCCTAATCCTGGGACCTACACCAATCGGAAATGGGAGAAGGGTTGTAGAGACCATAGTGCAGCCTCAGCATGATCTCACAGGAGGTGGAGACTGGTGAAAGGACTGCCAATTAAACTCAAAGGAGACCTCTCATAGGAAACTTTACAGGCAAGAAGAGAATGGAGTGACATATGCCAGATTCTAAAAGCAAAAAAATTGTCGGCCCAGGATAATGTACGCTGCAATACTTTCCTTTGTCTTTGAAAATGAAATAAAATTCTTCCACAGTAAAGAAAAGTTTACAAAAAATATGCCTCTTCAAAATCTGCCCTACAAATGACACTTCAAGATGTTCTCTTGACAGAGAAGAGGATTAGCCCAACTAATCAGAAAAGGGAGGGAAATGATATACACCAACAGCATCAGAGATGAAAAAGGAAATATATCAACAGATACCTCAGACACACAGAGAATTATTAGGAACTATTACAAGCAACAATATGCTGACAAATCAGATGAGCTAGAAGAAACGGATAGGTTTTTGGACACAACAATCCACCGAAATTGAATCATGAGGCATAAATAATCTAAATAGATATATAACATGTACCGAGATTGAATTGGTAATTAAAGCCCTTCCAACAAATAAAATCCCTGGAACAGATGGATTCACTGCTGAATTCTACCAAACATTGCAAGGGGAACTTACCCCAGTTCTCCAATCAATAAAAAGGGAGGCAACCCTTCCAAATTCATTCAAACCATACCACCTTAATACTAAAGTCAGATAGAGACACGACAGAAAAAGAGAACTACAGACAAATATCTTTGATCAAGATAGACACAAAGCTCCTCAACAAAGCACTAGCCAACAGGATCTAACAGCACATCAGGCAGACCATTCACCCGGACCAGGTGGGATTCATCCCAGGCATGCAGGAATGGCACAACATTCACAAATCAATAAATGTGATACATCACATTAACAAAATGAAAAGTAAAAATCATATAATCAACTCAATAGATATAGAGAGGTGTTTGATAAAATCCAACAGCACTTCATAGTAAAAACCTTATGCAAGATAGGCATAGAAGCAACATTCTACAACACAATCAAAGCAATATATGTAAAACCCAATGCCAGCATCATACTAAATGGGGAATGATTGGGAGCTTTTCCACACTAAAATCTGGCTATACAAGTTGTCCACTGTCACCACTACTCTTTAATATAGTATTGGAAGTCCTTGCCAGAACTATTAGGCAAGAAAGACAATTTAAAGAGACAAGAAAGACAATTTAAATTGGAAATAAGCGACTGGAATTATCGCTAATAGCAGATGACATGATTCTCTACACAGGAAAACAGAAAGACTTTGTTGAAAGACTGTTGCAACTCATAAGAGACTTTGGCAGAGTAGCAGGATACAAAATCAATGAGCACAAATCAATCGCACTAGTGTACACAATAACGCCGTGGCTGAGAAAGAAATTGCAAACACAGTCGCCTTTGAAACAGTGGAGAAGAATCTTAAAAACCTAGGAATTAATCTAACCAAATATGTGGAAGAGCTCTATGATGAAAACTATAAAACATTTTTTAAAAGAAATGGAAGAAAACATTAAAAATCAAAGAAACTTACCTTGTTTTTGAATTGGCAGAATCAACAGCATCAAAATGTCCATATTACCAAAAGTAATATACAGATTCAACTCAATCCCAAGAAAAAGATCCCAACAACATTCTTCTCAGAAATAGAAAAGAAGATTAAAAAAATGTTCATCTGGAAATAATAGATAACGACGAATAGCCAAAGCTATCCTGAAGAAAACAATTCAAGCTAAGAAATCACAATTTTAGTCCTCGAGACTACAGAGCAGTGGTCATCAAAACAGTCTGGTACTGGTACAGAAACCAGAGATCAATGGAACAGAATAGAAACCCCAGAGGGAAACCCACACATATATAGCCACTAATCTTTGACAAGAAAACTGAAAACAATCCAGAGGAAAAGCCTGGTCTATTCAACTATTCTAAATACTGTCGAGACAATCTGCAGAGGAAGAAGCAAGACCCACGCCTGTCATCTTACACAAAAATCAGATCTAAATGGATCAAGGACCTAAATCTACACCCAGAAACCATCAAACTATTAAAGGAAAACAAAGGAAACATTTCACAAGACATAGGAATGGGTAAAGCCTTCTTGGAGAAGACACCATAAACACAGGCAGTCAAAGCCAAAATAAACAAATGAGACTACATCAAACTAAAAAGCATCTGTACAGCGAAGGAAACATTTAACAAAGTGAGGAAACAACCAGCGTAATGGGAGAAATTGTTGTACACTACAGGGGACTAATATCTAGGATTTACAAAGAGCTTCATAAGCCCAGGGTCAGTTAAAAAAAAAAACAAAACTTGTGAAGAAATGGAGAAATGGGAGAAAGAAATAAACAGACAACTAAAAAAAAAAAAACAAATTTAAATGGCTAACAGGCACATGAAAAGATGCTCAGACTTCCTAGATGTCAGGGAGACACAAATGAAAACTACATTGAGGTTACATCTAACTGTGGTGATATTGGCCTACATTCAGAACACTACTAACAACACTTGCTGACACGGACGTGTGGAGAAAGATATCTAAGAGAACTCCAAATAAACTTGCCATATGACCCAGCTATCCCACTGCTTGGAATATATTAACACATTGATTATTCAGTAGCATGTTACTTAACTCCATGGTGCTGTAAATTTTTTGTTTTAACATTATTTCTGTTGATTTAGTTTCATAACCTCTCATTTAAGGGAATGTATACAAACTGCATAATAGAGACCTTCATATCCAGATGTGAAGATACAATGTAATATGCATCTCTACCTCCAAATCAAAGATGGACTTCCAATGAAACTGTTAGATATATCTCGACAATAGGATGCTGGACTGTCTGGCATTGTTTGTACCAGCAATGTCAGAACACACTTAAACAACAGAATGATGGACTTATGATTACTTATGAAGGACTATACTATTGTAATAATATGGGAAAATCAGTCTGGAAAGGGAGTAGGGGAAATCCCAGAGCCTATGGAATTGTACCGTAAAATTAAAAATACAATAGAATAAAAAAGATTTGACAAATTGCTGGGGTTGGGGACACACACTCACGAATTAAATAGATTATTAAGGTCCAAGGTGTTTACATCCAAAAATAAATAACCTATCATTCTTGCGGAGTATTGAGTCGGCATTGCTCTTTGACCAGCATTAGTGTCATGTCCAGAGGAATCTTGAGCTATTACTCAGGCTTATTGACAGCACATGTGATCAGAGGTTGAAAGCTCACTAATGCAGCCCAACCCAATGTACAGAATGTGCTCACCAGAATCTATAGAATTGAAATAAGACACAGAATTGAAGGATATGGTAGTTGTTTTTAAGTTGGTAAAGTTCTGAACCTGGACACTAGTCTGATCAGGCAAGAAAATTTTGGGGTCACATGGCTGACAGTGCCTGGGAGAAACTCTCCTTGCTATGCTGTGGAGAGCAGGGTGTTGGAGCTCAAGAGACTGGGTTTAAACTTTGATGCAAGAAGTCTCTGATGAGGCAGAAAGAAAGGAGCCACTTTCTATTCTCAGCCATTTCTGCAGAGACTTTTAGCTGATTTTGCAGTGCCTAGCTGACCTGTCTGTACGAACCTAAGAAGCCGCTCAAACAGTGTGAAGTTTTTCTAAGATTACATTCACTCTTCCCTTCCTCCCCCTTGAGATTCAACACACCAGACCAGCTCTAAGCAGCCATGGCCCACTGCATCTTCCTGGGAAAGTGCAGCTTAAGAAGGGATGTGTGTGAAATTTGGGGGTGCTTGGGTGGGGAGCAGTAGTGTGGTGGTAGTTACTGAAGCATGGAAGGGACAGAAACTTTATTGAAGCCTTGAGCAGTGGTAAGAAAAGTCCACAAACCTTGTTTCCTCCAGCACCAGTAGTAACACAGCAGAGCCACTGCCAGGAGCAGGAACAATCCCCCGCAAGATCCCAGAGCGACAAAGGCCTTTCTTTTTCCTGGAGTCCCTAAGGAGAAATAAAGTCTGTGAGTCCTGGCAAGGGGAGGTTTAGGGCTGGGACCTGCCACACAACCCTAGAACATTCGCTCAGCTCAGCTGGGGTCTTGAGTTCTAGAACAGACGGTTTAGGAAAGGAGGTTCATGAGGATGCCTTGGACCAGGTTACAGAGAAATCACTCTGGATGGGCCAAGTGGGAATGGCAGAGGGAACAACTGCCTGTACCTCCAGTTAACTATTTTAGAAACCAGCACTTTGGAGGAAATTCCAAAGTATGCAGATGCATATAGATGAGAGCATTTCAAAAAGTGCGCAGAATAGGGAATACCTTGTATGGATTACCTTATTTGAGAAAAATCTGAAATCCATGCAATTCCCATGAACTTTTTGGATGACCCTTCTTATGCATGGATTTCAAATTTCTCTGCATTAAAGTAAACTTAAGTTTAAAAATATATATATACTTTATATATACACATACATACATATATACATACATATATACATATACACATATATGTATAATGTATATACATATATATTTATATACATACATAATTTACATATATACATACATGCATATGTATGTATGTGTATATATATTTATCTTAGAGGCAGAGGAACAGAGAAATAGAGTGTGTGTATGCTTCTACATGCTGGATCACTCATAAAACCTGTGCCTTAAGTACTCTAAAGGACAAAAAAGAAAAAAAGAAATAACAAAAATATATATACAATAGAGCAAACTGTTTAGAATTTCTGATGTTTCCATTAGGTCAATTTTGTGTGTGTGTTTTCTTTATTAGTTTTAAATAAACTTGGATGTGATTACAGTGATTGCACTGTAATCACTCTTACTGTGCTAGCTCACCGCTTGCACAACAGCCAGGCTCTCTATTTATTTAACATACCTGGCACAGATTAGGAGTGCTTTCATGTTGCTCTCTTGCTCTGAGGTAAATGATTTTACCAAGGTTCAGATCTGGGTTACCATGTACAAGCTCCATGACGTATTATAAATAACTGAAACCCTCTGGGTTTCTTCAGTTCCCTTTTTCTGAAGAAAGTTCATGGTAGTATTTTTATATTCTAGGATCATTACTACGAAGATAATGTGTGAAAAATTTGTTCATTCAATAAGTAGTTACTGAATGTAGAGTTGAGTCAAACATTGTTCCAGGTATGTGGAATTTAATAGTGGTTTAAAAGGGGGATCCACCTACATGAGGCTAATGTGAGAAGAATGGAAGGGTGGGAAAAGGCAAAAAACAAACAAGAGCATACAAGGCACAGTAGAGGATGATGAGTGTGGTGGAGAGGGAATCAAGCAGGACCAGAAAGGGTGGCATGGTGGAAAGAGCTGTTGTTTCATTAAGGGTGGTTGAGGCAGGACTCATTAAAAAGATGAGTAGAGCTCTGGAGTGAGCAAGGAGATGAGCTTGAAGATACTGTGCAAGAGCAACTGAGAGGCTCTGATGTGGAGGGCGCCTGCAGAGTTTGAGGAAAAGACTGATGACCAGATTGTCTGGAAAGGAGTTGGTGAGGGCAGAGTGGTGAGGGGTAGGTCAAAGGGACATGGAGGCAGATAATGCCAGTCCTGATGAGTCATTGAGAAAATGTTGAGTCTCATTCTGAAGGAGTTGGGCAGACAAGAGGTACTTTGAACAGAAAGATAACAGCATCCAATTTAAAGGCTCCCTCTGATACTATACTAAAAACTATCAGAGGAGCAGAGTGAAGCAGAAGACCAGTTACTATCACAAGAATGCAGGCAAGGACGCCGGTGGAATGAACCTAGAATGAACCTAGAAACAGTCCCGTTCTGACTGTGTTTTCACAACACAGCCACCAGGACTTGCAGGTATTTTGAATGTGGAACGTGAAATAAAAAAAGTTCAGAATTATATATATATAGTTATAAATATATATAATATATAAAACAGATATAGATAAATATATAATATATAAGTATATATTATATATTTCATATTTTATAAAAATATATAAATATATATTTTATATTTTTATATATATGTATTTTGTTTTAGCTGAGCCACTAGGAGAAGAGAATTTTACATTCACCAAGAGAAAGCTATAAGCAGGAATCTATCTGGAGTGAGAACCAAGAGATTGGTTTTGGATGAATTACACTGCAGATGATAATGAGCTACTCCAGTGGAGCATTTGCTTGAGACACTTAAGTGTGAGAAATCTTGAGTTCAGACTGCATATCTAGGGCGTAGGTTGAGTGTGGAGTCCCAAGTGCATAGTAACGAGTGCATTCACAGTCTTGAGGCTGGCTGAAGTGACCTTAGGGGGTGGGGACTATGTAGCCCACAGCCACAGAAGGCCTTCTCAGTCATGTGTCTGACCCTGACAAGGTAACTGTGGTTGGGACTTACATTCAATAGTCTGTAGCAGCTCACTTTTTAAGCTGATAATTATGTATGGGTCATGATTGAGGTTATAAATATTCACATGGCCCTTGGCAGAAAGAAGTTTCCCTACCCTAATCTAGACAGTGAGCAGAGGTTAGTCTGAGATCAGAACTCCAGGAGTCTTGGGTTAGAAACAGGATGAGGAGGGGCTGGTATCATGGCTCAATAAGCCTCTGCCCTATAGTGCCAACATGTCCAATGGGTGCTGGTTCATGTCCTTGCTGCTTCACTTCCAATCATCTCCCTGCTTACGGCCTGGGAATGCACGTGAGAATGGCTCAAGTCCTTGGGACTTTGCACCCATGTGGAAGATCCAGAATAGGCTTTTGGCTCCCAGCTTTGGATCAGCTCAGCTTTGGCCACTGCAGCCATTTGAGGAGTGAATCAGTGGATGGGAGACCTCTCTATATCAATCTTTTTCTCTGTAAATCTGTCTTACAAATACAATAAAGAAATCTAAAAAAAATGATACAATGAGAAACTAGAAAGAAAACCCAATAGGAATGTCTGATGGAGAGATAAAGCACAGAGAATTACGTTTCAGATATCAAGAGGTAAAGTGTTGTAAGGAGCAATGGACTCATTCTGCCCAAAGGGGGAGACAGGCCAAGTAAAGTAGAAGCTAAGAACTGCTTATTAGCCTTAGCAGCATCAAGGTCATGAGTAATGTTCTGGTAGAGCAAGGTAAGAATGATAGTGGTGGGAATGAGAGAAAATAGGGCAAAAGAAGACAGTGCACACTGAGCATTCTATTGAGATGCTTTTCTAATCCAACTTTTCAGTAACTTATTTAAAAAAAAAAAAACTAGTGTTACATAGCACTAGGTGATGAAGCTCAGTCTGCAATAGAGAAAGACTGCAGCCCAGCAGAAACCGTTTCCTTAAGCAATGTTGCAGAATGAGAAGATAGTTTAGGTTAGTGTGGCTTTTCAAGAAAAGAGGAAGAGAAGAATACATGGTAGAATTTCACAATCTCAGAGCGAGATTTCTCTCTTCTATGAACACAACCAGGCTTTAACTTCTGTACTTGTAAGTTTCCCAACCTACTAAGAGTGTGATTACTGAGACTCCCACAAGCCTATAGTAATGAGGGAAAAAAGTGTCTTGTACTTTTGATTCTTTTGGAATTTAGGGCACTACGTGAAGTGTTATGAATGATTGCTGGGAGAAGCATAGGAAACACTTAAGGCGAGAGACTTGCATCCCACACTAAGGTGCTGCTAAGGAAACAAGTGTTCCCTTTGACATCATTAGAGCACAGACACACAAAATCTTCCCCAAGAGGCAAAATGGCTGCTTGGCCTGCATCCCCTCACTGGGATAGCTTACTCTAGTCTGAGTCATTAGCACTCTGATAGAAGACATTGTTGATCACAGTGGAGGACAGCAAAATAGAAACAGAAAACCGGAGAGGCATACAAGTGACATTGGTCATGCTTGCCCCTAAATAAGGCCCTTGTTTACAAACACTCACCTGTTACCGTGATGTTCACCACCTCGCTCTGGACGGGGCCAAAGCCGTTGTCAGCTGTACAGTAGTATTTCCCAGTATGGCTCTCCCTGATGTTAGAGATCTCCAGTTCTGCCCTCTGGGAACGCTGAATTTTCTGTCCCACATGCTTCCTTGTGTTCTCTTTGTGCCAGGAGAAAGTGGTCTCCCCTGTACCTTCGACCACAGAGCAGACAAGGACCAGTTTCTCCCCTTCAGATGCCTGTCCCCCTGGGGGCTTGATCTCTATGGACACTTGAGACACAGGGATCCCTGCATGAACAAGAGATAGTAGGTGAGGACCAAGGGTGGGAGAGGAGCATTGGTCAGGGTCATTTTTCTTGGGACTTCAAGTTTATCTTTGTTAGATACTAGAATATCACCGAATGTGGTATCATCCTCATACATAAGACCTCAGATAAACACTGACTATCCTCAGAGAAGCATTCTAGGTTTTGCTGGATATGTCAACAGGTGAGCTGCACTGTTTTGAGGGACAGGTAATAGCAACAGTGGCCATCAATGCTGTAGGATGGACCCCCACCAGTTTCCAGAAGTTCTACTTTCGGGCTCACGTCAAGGTGATATGTATTACATCTCTCTTTAGAGTGCTCCTTCTTTTCTGCAGTTTGTATCACAGGGATTCAAATTGCTTATTGCTAATGATTAGGACGAGACAAATGCTTGTTTTCTAAATGGGTTGCCTCAAGCTCTGGCATCCTGAAATCTGCCAACTAGAGCAGGACCTATGTTTTCTTGCATCAAACTTCATGAACCACGTGTACCTCTTCCAGATGATAGAGTTTGAAAAGAAGACTGAGTTTGTAGGAAAATGGAGGAGGAAAAGAAAATCTGTGTTTCTTCCACTAAGGCTCCTTATTTCTCAGTCTAAGACTGGTGACTTGTAAGGATGACCAAACTCATCATTGTTGGACACTCCCTGCCCCTCAGACATTGAAGCAGCTCAAGCAGGAGGTAGGGAGGATGCCTCTTGTTACCAACTGGCCCACCAGGCTCTCCCACACTCACTTTGCACGCGGATCTCTAGTAGGGAACTGTGTTTGTAGACAGTGTGGGTCAACGTTTCAGCACTGCACCCATACAGTCCCGAGTTTTCAATCCAGATGGTTGGGATCTGGAGCTCTGAGGACCTGTTCCAGTCAGACAGGATGACCATGTCATCTCGGAAGAAGATGAATTGGAGAGGAGTGTCCCACCGTGCTAGAGGGAGCTGTGTTTCACAGCTCAGGAGGACAGGACTCCCCTCTATAGGCTCAGAGTCTGTGGCTTTCAGCTCTGGATGTGGAAATAACTCTAGAGAGAAAAGGTAAGTCAAGTTCTCAGCATGAGGGTATACATAGCACCCTGGCTGAGGCAGGCTCAGCGTCTCAGTCCCAGGAAACTCCAGGCACACAGCAGAATAATCCCATCAAACTGAGTTTTCTTCCAACCCAGTCAGTTTACTCTCTCCACTTCTTGAAGGCCTCATGCCTTTCATGGATCTAGAGTTTCAGTGTTAACCCTCCAATCCAGTTTACTCACCCCAATGTTGCTGGGTAAATCTACAGGAAATGAAGGATTTACCTTGGATTTTAATAATTTTAACAGTTGAATCAATATGAGTGTGTTGGTCTTCATATCCATGGCATTTGTAGCTGCCACTGTTATTTAAACTTGCTTGTGGGATGATAAGATCCAAGTCTTGATTAGAATTATAGACATGATGCCCATCATAAATATATTTTGCAGCAACAAATTTCTGTTTCCCCTTTTTCTGGCATCTCAGAACCAATGCATCACCTTCAAACACAGGATAAGGGGACTGCAGGATGACAGTGGCTGCAAAATGACACAAAAACAATATCATTCAGGGGGACTTCTTTCCAATGTGTGTCATTATCCAGTCTGGAATGACAGACTTTACTGCTTTCTTCTTCCAAGGATTTGGTTTACCAACTCTAGCACATTAATCTCATTTCAAATCAGAGTGAAGCATATCAGAAACAATTCATAGCTAAATACTAAATATATCTATTCAATAATCAAGGGCAATTTCAAAATATAAAGTTTATGATACAGAAAAGAAAAGCCAAACAGATGTGATCAAGATCCCTGATGTCACAGAATAAACTCTTATCTACTTACTAAGTCTGAGGGCAGCTGTAGAGGAGGGACCATTTAGGAAAATGTAGCAGGTGCTATTATAGTACCTGCAATGTTTTATGTGGCAAGCCTATTGTCAAGAGATTTACAGTGTGGGGTGTTATGTGGCCGGGATATTGTTGGAAATGCAAATCCAAGTCCAAGGGAAAGGGATGTGGTCCTCTATGGTTATAGCTCTATCCCTTCTCCTAGCTGACCTAGTGAATGCCTGCTTTTATGAGTCATACCAGGGTCATGATTCTAAATTGGTGAAACTGCCCAGGAAGAAACATGGGAGCTCAGACGAAAAACTAGGAATGAAGAAGAGGAAGATGCCAGGGAAAGTGGGAATTAAAGAGCCAAGGCTGGAGATTACTCTCCTCTGAACTTCCTGCTCGCTGCTTTAGGCTCAGTGCATTTACTTGTGTGTACTTTTCTCTGTTATGATAGCTGTCAAATCCTAGAAGGCAGGATCTCAGATCAGTAGCTAGAGCTACAGGAGAATTCCACAGTCCTCATTGGCTTTATGTCCAGTCTAGAAAGCTTACGGGAGGTTAAGTGACTGTTTCAGTCCAGAAAATAGAACCCACAGGGGCCACTCCATTCCCTAAAGTCTAGCCTCAACCTATCGCATTAAGTACTGCCATTACTAAACTCCTTTCTGTGTTGAGGGGCAATTTCAGTTTCGCCTCTCCTGAAAGTAGCTGGTTTTGTTGACTATGTGAGCATGTAAGAAAGTATGTAGATTAATGGTAAACATTTAAACATTCTAATAGTAGGTTGGAAAACATTGGTAGAATGCGAAACAAATAGCTGAGGTCAAGGGTTAGAGAGGGATGAAGGACCTCAGTTCTTGAAAGTTCCAGGGAGCTGAGTTAAACCATAATTGTGCTTGAAGTTGTAACTAAGTCACCATCTTTCTCACCTGTAGCAAAAACTAAATGCACAGGGTCACTGTGGGGCGAGTCCTGGATCTGGCATTTGTACGTTCCAGATTTACGAACCACAAAGGTGTTTTCCATGAACTCTCCTTGTGTCTCTTTATTATTTCCGTTGTACCATATTGTTTTCGTTGTATTGTACAAGTGAAATCCATCGCAAGTCAGAGTCACTTTCTCTCCTTCGAAGACTGTGGTCCATGGAGGATCAAGGGAAATCGCAGGCTGAGGTAGTGTAGTAGCTGAGGAGGAGAAAAGAAGTGAGTCTGAAAAGGAGGGGCTGTACTTTAAGCTGCAGTGGTCAGTGTGAGACAAGTGAATACCTGGCTTTGGAGAATCCCTCAAAATCCCCAGCTTACTAGTCTTACTAGTCACTATATTCATCTTGTTTTAGGGTGCAGTGGCTTCTCCCAGGTCTTCAGAGAGCAACCTTAGCTCCAGCCCTTCACTGATGGCAATGGAGGGAGCCTCACCAACTCTGTTTCCCAGTGGACCAGACCTTCAGGTAGATACTTGGGAACTGCATTTCTCCTAGACTCATACAGCTGCTTCCACATTGCACACACCTTTTTCAGAGCAGTGGTTGTGGGTGAGGGGTACCAGAATTAGCATCTCCAAACATCCTTTTTGGTGTATGGATTATTCTAGGCTAAAGAGCATGAAGAACTGCCTGGAGCAGCAGAAGTTCTAAAAACGGGGCACAGAATTTCCTTTTGTAAAGGCAAGTTCCATCTTTAGAAGTTGCCCCCTCTCTCCATACCTGAATAGAGATCCCTAAATGCTTGTTAACATTGGAGAAGCATTGACTTAAGTGTTGGTAACAGACCTTATCAAGGGGCATCTGTTACGTTACTTTTTATGGCCATCTTCCCACAACTGACCTCCTGCACTCAGTAGCTTGAACTCTACTTCTTCTTGTTTGGCCTGAGAAGGTAGGTAAGTCTCAATCATCTGGCTATCTTCTGCAGTTACATATTTCTTTGAGAATTCCCCTGTGAATATATGTAATCAAACCGTCCCCCTTGGGCCCGGCGCGATGACGTAATGGCTAAGGTCCTTGCCTTGAACATGCTGGGATCCTAAATGGGTGCCAGTTCTAATCCCAGCAGCTCTACTTCCCATCCAGTTCCCGGCTTGTGGCCTGGGAAAGCAGTCAAGGATGGCCCAAAACCTTGGGACCTTACAGCCACTTGGGAAGTGAATCATCAGACGAAAGATCTTCCTCTCTGTCTCTTCCCTTCTCTGTATATCTGCCTTTTCAATAAAATAAATAAATCTTTTAAAAAAAAGTTCCTTGACCCAACCTCTTATTTATCTTTTACCAGTTTGACTCACAGGCCAAAGCCCATGAAACTAAGATGAATCAAGAGAGAAGTCATTTTTTTTCTTTTTTCTTTTTGCAATGTATGGCATGGGTTTGTGGTCAGCTGTGGGTTAAAGATGGAGGAAGTATAGAAGTCTGGGGCTCAATTATGGAAAAGCACCCAAGTTGCATTTTTACTGATAAGCAGCGTTTTTACTGATAAGCAGAAAGTTTGGGAGAAGTGAACTGGCTGTTGTCTGAAATAAAAGATCTATGCAGATAGCTACAAAGAGACCAGGTGCAGGGAGCCATCTACAAAATCAGACCTTAAAATTCTTCAAATAAGGATGGGAAAAAGCCAGAAAGTTACGTGTAAATGTAAATTGGTTGCAGATAGCTTCACTCTCTCCCTGCTGAAAATAAAGGAAGGTACTTTCACCTCAGGGTCATTTCAAATGTTTATAATTTTCTGATGGCTAAATAAGCCCCTGACCCATTTGTAATCTCAGGAGCTGTCTTCAAACAACATCCTTTACCTCCCAGCTGCTGCCTGAGGACAGAACCCCAAGTGGGGTAGGCTCATGTGCTTCAGTGTGCGGAACTACCTGCTGGCACCAAGCTATAAGGAGTTTGCTTCTCCTCTGTGCGAGAGCCAATTAGCTCAGACAAGTGAACAGCAAAGGGTGCTGTTCTTGAGGACCACTTATTATTTACCTGCATGGGAACAAAAAAAAGCTAAGATTCCTATGTGTCTTTTGCAGTGGACTGCTTGTGGTTCACATCACATTCTGGTTTAATGCTTATTCAATTATAACTTTCTTTTCATCTTAAATGTTTATTTATTTGAAAGGCTGAATTATAGAGAGGTGGGGGGTAGAGAGAAAAGGAGGGAGAGAGAAAGAGAGAGAGAGGGCAAGACTGATCATTTCACTGCTGATTCACTCCTCAACTGGCTGTAAAGGCCAGGGCTGGGCCAAGCCCAAACCAGGAGGCAGGAACTTCATCTGGGTCTGCCATGTGGGTTCCAGGGGCCCAAACACTTGGACTATCTTCTGCTGATTTTCCAGGTACATTGGAAGTGACCTGGATTGGAAGCAGAGCATCCCTGCTGCTCAAATTGGTGCTCCAACACGAGATGCTGGCTTTGTAGGCAGTGGTTTAAGTTGCTGTGCTACAATGCCAGCCACTCAATTGAGGATTTTCTTTGCAACCTTTGTGGAGGAGATTTTAGGTTAGGGGAAGTAGCACACAAGAAGTGGGTATTACTGGGCTCTTTTTAACTTCTCTATCTATCTATCTATCTATCTATCTATCTATCATCTATCTATTTGTAGCTATGAGCCTGTGGGGATTAATAACTAAAACAACTATACTCAAAGTATTCACTGATAGATATGTTCATTGGAATATTCTCCTTGATTTAATGGTACCTTCTCTAGACTGTAGAAATATGAGTAGGTTCAATGAATTACAAATAGACATGATCCTATTTCAGAATCTGTTCAAGATGCAATTATTTGTGAAGTTGGTTAGTTATATAGGTGGCAGACTTCTGGACCAGCAGCTAAGATGCCAGTGTCACATATTGGAGTAACTGGATCTTATTTCTGCTTCTAACTCAAGCTTCCTGCTAAAACACACCCTACAAACCAGAGAGTGATGGTTTAAATAACTGGGTCTGCTCACCTACATGAAAGACCTGGATTGAGTTCCCAGCTCCTGGGTTTAGTTCCGGTCCAGCCCCAGTCATTGCAAACACTTAGGGGACTGAATCAGCAGATAGGAGCTCTCTCTATTTCTTTGTGGAACCACAACTCTGACAACTCACAAACCCAGTGAAAAGTGTGGTAGGAAAAGACTGTAAACATTGAAGAGACCAAAATCAGTAATAAGGAAGGTACTTTTTTGCCTTTCAAAAGTTAGCCCCAGTGCCTTTCTCCCTAGTCTATTATCTACCAACAGGTTTCAAAAACCAAGACACTGATTTCTCAGCTGTGTAATTCAGGTCTGGGTTGAGAGATGTCAGAGAAACAGCACATAGAGTGGATTGCAGAATGGAGGTTCCAGGGAAAGGAGCCTGATGTTGAAAGAAAAGAGACACATAGGAATTTCTTGGATTCTTGGAAGCTTCAATTCCCTATTCAATCTCCTTCTTGCCTACCTGAAACACAGTCAGGATGCTGCAAGCAGTGGCAGCCTACGAATTAAAAAAAATCAGTATTAGATGCCTATTTTGTTTTATAAACTACCTAAGGTAATTTGACTTTTACGAAGCAGAAAATAAAACCTGTATTTCAATTTATTTTATCTTATTTTTCTCTTTTCTGGGTTGTACTATTTACTGTAAAATTGTATGTGGAATTATTAAATGTGCTTTCTTTCTGGTGTATTTTCAATTTAGATAAGGGGAAATATTTACACTTAAAAACTATAAGAAATTGCTTTTTTAAAAACTTGAAGTTAATACTCTCATCTCCACACAAGCTGATTTTTAATTTATACTCAAACATAATGGGAATATCCTCTTTTTTAGGGGATTAAAATTTGTAAAATATCTCAAATGCAGGTTTTAGAGAAACTGGACTTTCATATACTTCAAACATGTTCTCCCTTTAAGGATTTGGACAAATGTTCTATGTCTTTCTTGGCAAGAGGGTTGTTTTTGCTAAAGAGAAGACATTGCTACCAGTTACATACATGGTAAGCACTTGAGGATAGGAAACCAGGCAACCAGGCAGTGGCTCTTCTACTTGAGAGAAGGAGACTTCCTACCTGTGCTGTAGGCAGCCTGGACCTCTTTGGTCTAAGTGTGCCTAGTCTGTGCAGATGGCCCTATGGCCAAGAGGCACCTCTTGTCAGTTCACTCATGAAGTTGCCAATAAGCCTGTGGGCTCTGAGACTGAGTTCATCTGGTGGCTGACATAAAGCGCTGTTTGCCCTACTTCTCTTCCCAAGAGCCACTAGCAAAGTTATAGTCTTCAGTAAGGCAGGGATGTGTAGGAATTGGTCTTGGTCCACATACTGATGAAGAGTACAGCAGATCTTGGAACCACAAGAAATATTATATATTGAGAAAGTCGTGGCTCTTGCTGACTTAAGCAAGGACAGCAGACAACTCCCAAAAAGTACTTGGTGAGTTGTAAATATTCCAACAGGCATGCTAGAACAGCTGCTAATGGAAAACTGGACTTTCTGTTGACCACCAGATGGATAGGGAGTCAGAGTCATCATGCTTTGAACTATTAACAGAAAAAAATATGTCTATTCAGAGTGCTGCTGTTTGGACAAGTTACTGGGGACAACACCGTACCCTTGAGGTAGAGGTTTATTTTGGTCCTGGTCCACAAGAGTTGACATGTTTTGTAAGGATGGGGTGGGGTGCCCCTCCCTGTTCTGTGACTCCTGTGACTCATATCCCAGTCCCTGCATCTTTATCCAACACGATGGTGGATTTTCTTCTGGAGAGTAGTCCCCCCAAAGCCTGATTCTTAGGGCGTGAAAGTCACCAGACTGACATATTTTTGTGTCCCTACAACCCTTAGGAAAAGGGTGAAAGGGACAATTGGATCTCCTTTTCCAAGCATTCGAGATAGAGAATGTCTAATAAGTAATAAATGAGAAAAAAGGGGGAGCACTTACCGAATTGTCCACTGACTGCAGCTGCAAGAGAGACAAGAGCCAGATGTCAGCATAAGCAAAGAGGTCCAAACCATGTACCCCTAGAGCTACCCACCTTCTACTTCAGCCAAAAGAAACAGAAACACATTCAGTCCTATTCACTCCAGAGAAGGCAGATGGTACAGTGGCCCAAAGCACAGGCTGTGGACTCAGGCAACCTGGTTTGAGTTTTAGCTGTGTGACTCTGGATGAATATAAGTTTCCAAGTTTCATTTTCCTCATTTCCAAAATAAAACACAGTATTAAATCACACTCAAGCATTAAGACCCAGATGGGGAGTGGTATTGTGGTATAGTAGGTGAAGCCACCACCTGCAATGTTAGCATCCTATATAGGAGACAATTTGTGTTCTGGATGTTCTGTTGGATAATAATAATTTTGTAAAAATAGTGGAGGACAGTCTAAGTGCTTGAGTCTCCACCACCCATGAGAGAAACCCAGATGAAGCTCTTGACTCCTGGTTTCAGCCAGGCTCAGCAATGGCTGTTGCAGTGTTGATGGAATATCTGTGGATGGAAGATCTCTCTTTCTCTTTTTCTGTCTATAACTCTTTCAAATCAATCTTTTTAAAAAAAAAAAAGACCAAGATGATGTCACACCTCCTCCTTGGAGCCTTCTGAGATGCCTTTGGGCTGAAGCAGTCTCCCTCTTTTCCTGACTTTGGAGACTTTCATAGCTTATTTGGATTATATTATATTATATTATATTATATTATATTATATTATATTATATTATATTATATTATATATAACTATATATAATACAGTATGGAATAAAAGTCAAACAGCTAGTTTTCTACGTCAGATTGTGAGTTTGAATCCCAATTCTACCACTGTACTGGCTGTGTGAATCTCAGGCATGATACTGAAGTCTGTATGCCTTAGCTTCCTATTTGTAAATAGCAGTTAGAACAGCCCTCACTAATTGAGTGTCTAATAATTCCTTAAGTTAACAGATGGGATATTCTTTTTTTAAAAAAAAAAAGATTTATTTCTTTGACAGAAAGAGTTCCAGAAAGAAATGTAGAGACACAAAGGGGATGATATCTTGCAGCCTTTGGTTCATTTCTCAAGTAGTCACAGTGGCTGAGGCTGGGCCAGGTCAGAGCTAGGAGCCTGGGACCCTGTCTGGTTCTCCCACACAGATGTAAGAGTTCAAACACTTGAGTCATCTTCTGTTGTTTGCCCAAGCACATTAGCAGGGAATTGGATCAGAAGTGGAGCAGCCAGGATTCAAGCCAGAAATCACAAGGGCATCATTAGAAGCAGAGCTTAAGCCACTGAGCCACAATGCCAGCTCTAAATGAGGTATTCCTAGAATAGCGTCTGAGACATTCATGTAATTGGAATTGAACAAGAACTAATTGTTACCAAATGATCCTATGTTCTATTGTGTAGCAATTTTCTTGCATGCCAGGTCAGAAGTTCTTGCACCTGTACTTGGGTCTCCCAATTAAAATCACAGTTTATTAGGGCAGAGCCTCTCTCTCCTAGAACTCTATCTTTTGTGATAGGCTATGCATTGTGTGTCATGCTAATTATATCCATCCATTCACTATTAATTGAGTTTTCATTATGCACCAATCACACCAATAATTCTTCCTTAAGTAAAGGTCTTAGGTACAGGTAGAACAAGATAAACACAGAGATACATACTTAGTGTACAAAATATTGTCTGATCTTTATTTCGCTAGCCTGAACTGCTGGGAATTCGGTGCCTGTTGTGAACCAGCACTGACAAATACTGCAGAAGTGGAGCATGGAAGTTGTTGGGAACCCAAGGAAAAGCCATTTCATTTATTCACACGTTCTTTTCAATCATTAAAGTCATTTAGATCTTAGGATAGAGAGAGAAAATACTGTTTAAAATATCATTTTTATCTAGTTCATGATTAGGACATAGTCCTACCCACAAGAAATTCAGATTTTTTTTACCTTGGGTTTCCAGAAACTATATTTTTAAAAGGTAATTGACTATATCTATAGTTTTTGGTTTCATATGAGTAGAAAGTCCACTCTAGAGTAGGAGGAATTTTCTTTAAGTAATTAAAAGCAGAAGTGGATGAGAAGCACACCTTTGGAAATCAATGATTACATTACCTTCATATCAATTTACTCGTATCTTCCCCCCTTCGTTTATTTCCTGCTAGTCTGAAACATGAGTCAAAGTCTGTGATGTGGCATTTCTGAAGAGAAGCCGTTTGCTTACAGTGAGACCCCCGCTCCCCAGAGTGGAGGTTCCTCCTTACCACTTACCGAGGATCAGCAAGGATGACCACAGCAGCATGGAAGTTGACTCCAGGGGTTGGAGGAAGAGAAGATCTTAGAAGGCAGGCCAGTTTCATTCAGGTCACAGAAGCAGCGTGTGCCCTGACTGCAGGCTCACTCCGGTGCTACAGAATGAGTAAGATGCCTCTCGGAGAACAGTGGGCCACGATATTAGAGTGAAAAGGGGAAGTAAAACAGTCTCTTAAAACACCAGACACCATGTGACCCAGACTACGATGATCAGTAATTAGCACAATTATGTAAGCACTTGGCTGGCGTTCTGGTGTGAAGAACTCCTCAAGGCTTCAGTTATCATGCATTTCGTCTTTCCGGGAAATAAAAATTACTCCCACCAGATCCCAGGTGAGACTGCAGTCCCATTGAAATTCACATAATCCAAGAATGTACCTGAGTCGCCCTAGAGATGGGGAACTTTTCATCAATGCAGAAACACTCCTCCAACCTCTGTTGCTTCCATCGGACCACCTCCTACTGACTAGCCACATACCTGATGAAACCCCTCAGCTGCCAGACAACTCCCACTTTGTCTCACAGATATAAAAATATCCTGAGTTATCTGTCTCAGGGGAAGCCACAGCTTTGATCAAAGCAGGAGGCAAACCAAAGAGAAAATTATAGCCCTGACATGCACTTTCTAGACCATCAAATGTCAATTAGAATTTTTTAAAAGACATATTTATTCATTTGAAAAGCAGAGTTAGAGAGGAAGGAACACACACACACACACACACACACACACACACACACACACACACACACAAAAGGAGAGAGGAAGCGGGAAGGTGACAGAGAAAGAGAAAGAGAAAGAGAGAGATCATCCATTGTCTGATTCATTCCCTTGGTAACTGCAATGGTCAGGGTTGGTCCTGGAAGAAGCCAGGATTCAATAACTACATCATCTGGATTTCCAACATGCATGGCAGTAGCTCTAATACTTGGACCATCTTCTGCTGCCTTTCCAAGGCCATCAGCGGGGAGCTGGATTAGATATGGGACTGGAACCAATGCCTATGTGGATTGCTGGTATTGTGGACAGCAGATTTACCCGCTATTTCATGTCAATCCTGACCCTCAAGTTTTTACTTAAGGTCCCAGAATCTAAAGTTTTCCACAAGAATATCTTGGGAAATACGTAGTGTTATCTGTGAATAAATGACTCTTGACCTTCCTGTAAGCAGAGAAGAACAGATAAAGGGCAGCTGAAATGTCTGCATTTTTCTGATACAACACCATTTTCTATAGAACTATTTTTTTTTCCACTTGAGATTTGTATTAAATGTCAACTGTATTCTAGATAAGGTCAATGACCTTTGCTATATAAAAAGAGGTTTCAGAGCAGGCAAAGAGGCACACGGTATCACAGGTACATGCAAAATGTCAAGGTGACCCTCAGGTTCTTCTGGCTTTGTGAGTTTTCTGTCATCTTTCAGTTGCCTTTGTTTATTTTTTGCCTATTATGAGTTGTGTGACTTGAGCTTCTATAGGAATCAATTTCACACTAGTGAAAATAAATAAAAATACCCACTTGAAGGGGATGGTGCTGATGCTATGAGGAAAAAGCAATTATATTGTAAAAGTCTTGGACCAATGTCCAAGATGATGTAAACACTCAACAAGTAATAACCATGAAGGACTAGACATCTTGTTACACTTGGAATCATAGCTATAATCAATAGAAAAGAGCTTTATAAGTGGTAACAATAGCCTATCAATATTTGTGTATCCCCTATTACACCAGAAAAGAATATTTTAAGTAAGTATAAAACTCAAAAATGTATTTATTGTTTAAGGATTGAGTGGAAGTTGAGATTATATTGCTTATTTTCTTTTTCTAGTCTCAGTTTTGTTGAGTGAAGGAATTTCACCTAGCAATATAAAATTTTACATTTATGATACTATTACATTCGTTTACAGCTATAGTATGAAAGTTCACTTTAATTAAGTCCTAATATTTTGTTGTGTTTAAGTTACTGATACAAAAGTCATAGTTATTGATGTCCAAAGTGTAATTTCACCTTTATCTGTTTTTAATAAAATTTTTATTTATTTGAAAGGCAGAATTAGTGAGAGAGAGAGAGAGATTCACTTTCCAAATGGTTGTGATGGTTGGTAGCAGCCCTAGTGGGAGTTAGCTTCTTCCAGGTCTCCCACATGAATTCAAGCACCCGTGCCAACTTTCACTGCTTTCACAGGCACAGTAGTAGGGAGCTGGGTTGGAAGTGAAGTAGCTGCATGTTGAACTGATGCCCTTACAAAATGCCAGCATTTTAGGAGGTAGCTTAACCTACTACATCACAATGCTGGCACCCTGATTTCACTTTTCAGTGTTGACTGTGAACAGCGTAATTTATTTAGCTAATTTGGTTCTATTTTTAATTTTTATACTGAGTTTTTAAAAGTAACTACGGCTGTTTTTTTAAAGTATTTTTTTCATTTTGGTCAAAGGAGAAAAAGAGACAGATTATAAATATATTGTTCATTTGCTGGTTCCCTCTGAAAATATCTGTAACAGGTAGATTTGGGAAAGACACAAGTCTGCAATTCCATCTGGCTCTTCCACATGAATGGTGTGGATCAAAATATTTGAATTTTCAACTGCTGCATCCCAGGGTAAGAAGAAAATAGTCAGCACTGAAACCAGGCACTCTGATATGGGATGTGGCGCCTCAAACAATTGTTTAACTGTTGTACCGAACAAACATGCTTGCTGTTTTAGTGATTCTTGATCTTGCTGTTTAGTGTTCTTGATCTATAACATTTCCTGTCTGACTCCCTCAGGCTTTGAATTTACATTCTTTGTAACAAGCTAAATCAGATTCAAACAGATGCCAGAGGTGCCAATCTTGAAAAGCAGTCAAACCAAAACAAATCCACAAAACGTAAGCTAATTCAACACCCATATAGTACATATAGAAACTGAAAGCTCTAAATTTTTCTCATATATATAAAAAAGAGTATTTGACACAGTGGTTAAGTTATTACATCAGACACTCATATTCCATATTTGAGTGTTTACTATCTAGCTTCCTTCTAACAGGTGATCTGGTGGGCAGTGGGAGAAGATAGTTAAAGGGAGTGTGTGGTCTTGACAGGGCTTTATACATAACTAGTTAAATACTAGTTAAAATAAATACTAGACAAATAAGTGTGTTGTTCCTGTTGTTGCTAACCTTGCCTTGACTCCAACACCAGCGGCTGTATACAGAAGTGTGTGTATAATGGTTTCTGTGGCCATCCGTTAGTGCTACAGAAATGAGACCTGAGAATAATCATTACTGAATTTCAAGGAAAATATAGTAGTTAAGTTCATTCAGGTTTCTTTGGAAATTATTGTCACCTGGAAATCTTGTTCTTCCCCCTGCCTGCAGATAAAAATATTCCACTCCCTCGTGTTAAAAGACTTTGTTCTTTGGCTGTAGAGACTTTTCTTAAGTGATTTCTTGTTATGAGTTGAGACTGCTTCATCCCCAGGAGCATCAAAGTAAGTTTGCTTAAAAATTTGGGGAAAAATTAGGGCCCGGCGCGGTGGCGCAAGTGGTTAAAGGTCCTCGCCTTGCACGCCCGGGATCCCATATGGGCGCCGGTTCTAATCCCGGCAGCCCCGCTTCCCTTCCAGCTCCCTGCCTGTGGCCCGGGAAAGCAGTTGAGGACAGCCCAAAGCTTTGGGAACCTGCACCCACGTGGGAGACCCAGAAGAGGCTCCTGGCTTCGGATCGGCATAGTATCGGCCCGTTGCGCTCACTTGGGGAGTGAATCATCGGACGGATGATCTTCCTCTCTGCCTCTCCTCTCTGTATATCCGCCTTTCCAATGAAAAAATAATAAAAATAAATCTTAAAAAAAAAAAATTTGGGGAAAAATTAGAACAGAATCATAGAGTGAACGCCCTTCATTCCAGTGTCACAGATCCACACTCACGTGACAACAGGGGCAGAATAAACACTATATTTGAAATCTAAGGCAGTGGTTTGATTCAACATTTACAATTCCATAGCTCATTTTGTTACATGGAGACTTTTTGTACTAGTAAAACTGTCATTTCCTCTACATTTCTATTTTGTGAAAATGCTAAACCTTCTGAAAAATAAAATGGCAAGCATAACACAATGAGTGTATGGTCTTCACTGAGATGCATCAATTTTTAACTTTTTCATCCTTGTGGCTATCTTTTTTTCTGAGGAACGGCCAAGGTATCACTTATTGTGAGAAGCATAAGAAAATTGCAAGTACAGGCGGGCTTGCCTCACTATTGTGTTGTGTGATAGAGAAGGAGGAAGCTTCCAACTTGGTGCTGGAAACCAGAAACTTATTATAAGACATGTTCCACTGTGACATTCTGAGGATCTAAGATTCTTGTATTTGAATCAGGACTTCCAGGTCCTTGTGAATGCATACGTGTTGAGTAAGGAACAAAGCATATTTCATGAATCCATCAAGTGGATGTGTTACCTTTAGAGCCCTATGTATATAAGACTACTTCCAAAAATTCGTTGAAAAATGGAATTTAAAAAGAGATAACTTTGATACCAAAAATAAATTCCATGTAGTTTTTTATAACATATATTTTCTCAAACTTTTTAAATCTCCCTAGTATATCATAAAAGCCTCCATCTGTACTCTTGTTCTGATCCTTGAAAAAGTTAGGGGACACCTGTTACTTATCTGAGAGTGGAAGAGGACTACAGCTTTCCCATTAATTTCATTCTATATAGAAACTGTTTTTCTCACTGTTTCACTTCCCTTAACCAAAACTGAATTATCATTCTGAAATTGTAAAAAAAATAAATAGTTTAATACTTTAAATTGTAAAGTTCAAAAGGTTTTGTGATTTTATAAACTCGGGACATTTTTGGGAAGAATTTAAAATTTAAATACTAATACAATGTTACTCATCTACTGGTGAGCATTCTATGGCTTCTAAATTTCATTTCATGTGTGACTACTCATTTGCAGCTCTCACTGCATGTTACAAAAAACATTCCCCTGATAATTCTGCTCTGGAGAAATGCCTTTTTTAAAACTATGCTGGAGGGTTCTCTGTACTATTTGGGTGTGAATTAGCTTACGTTTTATGGATTTGTTTTGGTTTGACTGCTTTTCAAGATTGGCACCTCTGGCATCTGTTTGAATCTGATTTAGCTTGTTACAAAGGATATAAATTCAGAGCCTGAGGGAGTCAGACAGGAAGTGTTATAGATCAAAGACAGTGAGGTAGAAGACACATCAATTGCCAAAATGCAGTATAACTTAACTATTTTTATAGGAATATTGGCTTTATGTGTAACACCACATAATGTAAAGTGAGCACCGTATTTTAAATCCAAAATTGGAATGTGGATATGGTTATTAACTTCCCTTCATTATTCATTGTGACTGAGCTGTGAATTGGAAACTTCACGTCCCTTCTGCTCCAGGAAATCAGTGCCAGAGCTTACATTTCATGTTGTATGTGCCACATTAGGAAGTGTCACTATCCTCTTAAGTCTGTATATATGAAATACATAGTTTGCTCATCTACATAATCAAAAAACATTATTTATATAGTTGAAAGGGAGGGGAGGGTCGAAGTATGGAGGAAGGTGGGTGGGATCAATGTTTCCATTTTTTTTTTTCTCTTATTTTCGCACTGAAGGATAGGGAGCCACTCCTTGCTATCAAACTACATCAGCACCCAGGGATAGGGGATGGTCATTTGATGACATGTTAGAAACCTTAATGTTGGGAAAAGTGTTCCAAGAGTGTTACTTGATTAATTTTGAAAGTTCTGAGCTGTTGTCAGTTTTGTTGCACCAGGATTTAAAAAATCTTTCTAAGATCTATTGGCTGACCAAATCCACCTTAGTGCATCCCCAAGACCAGGGCCATGTTGCAAAAATTGGCCAAGAGAGTGGTCCAACCTCTTCTGCTTTCCATCCTCTGATGAGGGAGTTGGTATCCTCTACTGGCCTAGATGAGGACTTACTTGGAATGACCCATTCTGCATCCCCATTGCCATCTCTCATGTGAACTGATGGGTGCTGTGGCCTGGCCCAGCCTAATCTTCAGACAGTCTTGCACTTCAGGCACATGGACATGACTTGCATTCAATCCCAGAATTTGACAGTGGGTGCTGCAAGCTAGCCCAGCTGGCCTTCACCCATTCTGACTATGTATCCCAGTGGGTGGATGTGCTAGTCTAGCCAAGCCTGTCCTGTGCCTACACTGGCCCATCCCCAGCCTCAGTCCCCATGCTCCACGGTGAAAGTAATGGCCCAGGAAGGCAGTCCCCAAAGTTCCCCTATGAGACTGCTTGGAGCCCCGAGTCTTGCATATTTCAGCAGGTGCTGTGGCATAGTTTGAAAAGGGCTGCCCTCAGTTTCAGCATTCTCTAGCAAGTGCTACAGCCTGGTTCAGCCAGGCTCGCTTCCAGTCCTCATGTGAACTGGTGGGAGCTGAGATCTAACTTGATCTGGCCTGCCCCCTGACCTGGTTCTCACTCATGTCAATGTGGGCTATGGACTAGACCAGCCCAACCTGCTCCCTCCCCGCCAAACTCAACTCACACATTCTGATGGCGGTGCTATAGCCCAGTCTGTTCTGGCCTACCCCCACTCTGCCTCTTGGGCTCAATTGTAGGAATTGAGGCCTAGTATAGGAGTTCCCCAAGTTCCTTTACTAGGCCCACTCTCAGTCCAGATCTCATGCACCCAGATCTCGGGCTGGTGCAACAGGCTGTGTTTGGCATGGTCTACCCTCAGTTTCAACCTTTACAAATGCTGGTGAGTGTTGCAGCCTGGCCCAGTTCACTCCCCTTCCATCCCTGGCTCCCACGAATGTGAGTTCCATGATCCAGCTGGTTCAGCTCATTACCACCTCCAGCTCTCCAGGCAAATCCATGAGCCCACAAATCATCTTTAGAATCTGCACCAAATCCAGTTTTTCATGTCTGGGTGGGTGCTGCAGCTCAGCCTGACTTGGCCCATCTCTGCTCTGACACTTATGAACAGTGTCATGACCAACCAAGCATATCACTCAGCCCCATTGTGCATGCACCAGCAGGCAGCAGGCAATGCTATTTAGCCAAGCCCAGATTTCCCATGTGGGTGGGTGTCCTGGCCTGACCCAGACATGGCCTCTGGTTTCCCCTCTTTAACCCACTCCATCATAGTTCCCTCACCTAGCTGTAATTGCAGTGGCTCAGTCCATGGAAGCTCCTAGAAGTCACTTCTCAACTGTCAAACATGCCCTTGGCAGCAGCTCCCATTCCAATAAGTACCCAGGCCCCCTTCCCTCAGCAATCTGCAACCTCCAGTCTATAGACTAGTGTGGCATGTTCTGGTCTGACATTCCTCACTTTCCCTACATATCTAAAAAAAAAAAAGAAGAAGAAGAAGAAGAAGAAGAAAAAAAGAATAGGTAACTATGTTGCTATGTTGGTACACTGGTATAGTTAACTCAAATTTGGTATAACCATGTCCAGAATGCCTGCCAGCTGCTAGCTGTTTATCTCTTCAACACTTGCCAGGCACAAGGCAGTAGCCTATACCAGGGAAAGTTAAATTTAAAAATTATTATAGGGTCTGGCACAATGGCTCAATAGCTAAATCTATATCTTGCAAATGCTGAATCCCATTTTGGTACCAGTGCATATCCCGGCTGCTCCACTTCCCATCCAGCTCCCTGCTTGTGGCCTGGGAAAGCAGCCAGGGATTGCCCAAAGCCTTGTTAACCTGCACTGATGTGAAAGATGCTTGGCTCCCAGGTTAGAATTGGCTCCGCTCTGACCATTGTGGCCATTTGTGAAATGAACCAGCTGATGGAAGGTCTTTCTGTTTCTCCTTCTTTCCAATAAAAATAAATAAATATTTGTAAAAGAATGACTACAAGTTCATCTTGTAGCTCTAGTCTTACAGTTTGGCTCCTGTTCCAAAGAGGTGGAGTCTATTTCTCCAGGCCTTGATTATTTTGGCTTTGTGTCTTTTTAACATGGTAAAAATAAATTTTTGATCACTGGCCCGGGTTCCTGACACAGCTCCTAAAACTTGCAATTTCTTGAATGATAGGAGGGCTAGGATCATCTTTTAATATCATAGCTGGTCTTTGACACTAGTTTCTGATCTTGACTTTCTAAAACTCTGGGAGTTTTCTAATAATAGGAGCAACTTTTGTTCTGGTGAGGCAGTTTTTTGTGGACTCCTTGGCACTCTCAGAATAACAGCTTGTTAGAAAAAAATCAAAGATCAGAGCAGTGCTATTGGACAGTGACTACAGCTGCCTGTGGCAATAGTACGCCATAGGGGTGCTGATCCAGTGCCCCACTAATGTGCCTGGGAAAGAGCAGCAAATGGTTCAAGTCCTCAGTCGTATCTACAGATGTGGAAGATCTGGAAGAAGTTCCTGGCTCCTGACTGGCTCCACTTTGGCCACTGTGACTCTGGTGAGTGAACTAGCAGATGAAAGATATCTCTTTCTCTCTCTTTCTCCCTGTCTTTCCTTCTCGGTAACTCTGCCTTTTGCATAAATAAATAAATAAATAAATAAATCTTTTTTATTTAATTAATTACATATTGCATTATGTGACACAGTTTTATAGACACTGGGATTTCCCCTCCCCAAACCTTCCCTGCATGGTGGATTCCTTCACCTTGTTGCATAACCACAGTGCAAGTTCAGTTGAGATTCCTTCATTGCAAGCATATACCAAGTATAGAGTCCAGCATCTTATTGTCCAGATGAGTTCAACGGCTTCTTAGGGAGACCTTGTCTGGTCTGAAGGTAGAGCCAGCAGAGTATCATCCCGATCAATTAAAAGCTCCAACATGACATCAGCAATAATTTATAATATTATGGAATTAATTGACATAGTATTGAGTAACCAATATGTTAAAAGAAGAAGAAAAATGCAAGTTCTGAACCACATCCTGTGATTACTTCATTGACATTTCAATTTTAGTTTATATACAAAAAGTTCTATACATCTTAAAATAGCTATAGATTACTGTTCAGCTGTCTTGTGTCTATTTTCATTATAATATTTAGCCTTTAATAGCGTTGAAGCATAATTTTGCTAAACCTGGCTATTTTTTCAGGTAGTCTAGACTGGCTTATAACTCCAACAAGACATGTATCAACAGTTTAGTTGCAGAGCAGTTTTAGGGTGGTGTGCAGAGAAATCCTCAATGCCCTAGTGAGGAGTAACTAATATTTCACGTCTTCCTCACACCTTCTAGGGTGATGGAAGATTTCTCCGCTCTCCCACCTCATTACGGAATAACATAGGGAATTAAAAGTATATTAGGTTTTACAATTCTTTGATGCTGATCATAAGCAGTCTGACTCACATTGATTGTTGTTTCATTGGTTACTTCACAATATCTGATTGCATGTGAGATAGGCTGAGGTTGAGATAATATTACATCTTACAGGTAGTATTTTTCATATTGACATCATTTCATCTTAAATTAAGGCAAACATGTGGTATCTAACCTTTTGGGATTGGCTCATTTCCATTAACATTGTGGTTTCCACTTGGGCCCATTTGGCCACAAAGAACTGCATTTTGTTGTAATAGCCGAGTAGTATTCCATGGAGTAGATGAACCATAACTTTCTTATCCAGTCTTCAGCTGATGGGCATTTTGGTTGCTTCCATGTTTTTGCAATTACTGATTTTTAAAAAAATACTGAAAAGATAGGGTCATAAGCAAAGTTTGAATCTTTCAACCCTAAATTCATTTTCTGTGAATGCATGGAGACTGAGTTAATAATCAACCACAACCATATCTGGGTCTGGTGTTGTGGGGTAGCACTAAAGCTTCTGCCTGTGAGGTCAATATCCCATGTGGGTTCTGGTTCAAGTCCCAGCTGTTCTGCTTCTGTTCAAGCTCCCTACTGATGGTCTATGAAAAGCAATGAATCCCTGTTTTGACTTTCAAAACAAAGTAGTAAATCTTTTTAAAAAAAAATTCCTCATGTCCATATAATTAAGCCTGAGCAAAAATCCCCAATTCAAAGTTGAGAAAATTTCCTAGATGATGAGCACATGTGCTCCCAGATATTTCAAAACTTTGTGCTTTCTGGCTGATCATGTGTTAATAATATCCTTTATTATAAAATGATAAAGGTAAATAAGGTGTCTCTCTCAGTTCTGTAGACATTACATCAAATTACGAAACTGAAGAAGGGTGTGGGAATCTCTGACTTGTAGCTAAGTTGGACAAAGTGTGTGCACTCTAACACCCAGTACTTGTGCCTGGCCTCTAAAACAGAGGGCATTGTGTGAGACTAAGCTCTTAAACTGTGAAGTCTGTACTACTTTGGGTAGTTAATGTCAGAATTTAATTAAGCTGCAGGATTCTCATTTGGTGTCTATAGAGAATTAGAAACTTGTTTCGCATGAGAAATTTCCATGTTTTATGTTAGAGGTATGAATTAATAAGCAGTCTTCTTTTAGTCTTAGATTGGCCATGAATATTGGAAAGAAGGATGATACATAGTTCTGAATGTGAGTCTTATCTTAAGAAGCCCTGCATGCTTCTGGTTTCACTGTTGGTAAGACCTTACTTGCCATCTTTAAGAACAATGGAAAGAAGACCCAGTCACTCCAGCTGATTCAACCAGAAAGCCCAATCCTAAATATCATCCCACAGAAGAAATATGTATGTCCGCCCAAGATCAGTTCAGCACTGCCCAGCTTAGAAAAACTGTCTTGATGTTCTCAGTGCAATTGCCAAGATGTAGAATAAGCCACAAATAAATTACTGCAGTTTAAGGTCACTAAGTTTTGGGGTGGCCTGTTATACACTACTGCTAAGATTTACTTTAATACTCAATACATGTTAATTCCCCTTTAAAAATTTAAATAAAATATTTATTTGAAAGGAAGCATAACAGAGGCAGAAGGGGAGAGAGGGAGAGAAAGAGAAATTTTAACCCTCTGTTTCACTTCCCAAATTGCCACAACAGCCACAGCTGGGCCAGACTGAAGTCAGGAACCAGGAGTTTCATCCATGTCTCC